AGTTATAACATTTTCATGCACTCATTGTGCCATGCACTGTGTACGTACGTGATTCACTGATGTAAATGCACCGTGGTTTGTGCATATAAAAGGGGTTTGTCTCCTATCCCTACATGTATTATATATTTGGGTTTTGGTATATAGTCCTCTTTGAAGTGATTGTATGCAACCGTGGATTGACGATCATCAACCCAATTAGTAGGCATATCATTTATTAAGAATGCACTTTAATTTAAAAAATTGAGTAAAATGATGAAATCAAATCTCAATTGTTCAAATACCGACTATATCGATTAAATACTAACAACATAATAATTAATATTAAAGATATAGTGATCCAATATTGACGATGAAGATATATAATTATTTCAGCAATTGAGATTTGAAAATAATCATTTCAACTAATTTTCTTATTGATTTTCATGTTTGACTGAAGCACATATAGCCTACCTTGGTTATCCATATCGATTCTATGGAATTATAAAGGATCTATTCTTATAGGGAAATGAAAGGAAGTAATATACCGATTAAGTATTTTGCATCAGAGCTCATTCTCTTTGAAGATATATACTAGTTTTCAAATTTGAATGCATTCTTTGTTCAAAACACATTTATTTTCGTTATCTCCCATAATCTACATTGACATTTAGGCAGTACTTAGTATATAGTCAGTCTCAATTTCCAAATCATAAATCATACTAATTTTATTTTTACATATACTATGCATGTGCTGTTGAGGGACAATTATTTTTTAAGGTAGAAATGTTATGGAGACTCTTTTAAAATAAAATTTTTCATGAATTATCTGCCACCTAACAGTTTAATGTTGATTACCGTGCTAACATTATAAAACATTGTACAAAAAATTTGAGATGGCAGAGAATCCATAGAGTCCCACTTTTGAAAGAGTCTTCTTAGCATTTCTCATGTATAATAGAAGAAAAGAAAGCAAAAGGAGATAAACATGAGAGAATTCATTTGTTTATGTTTTTTTTTTTTTTAAAGAACTCTTCACTTGTAAGTGAGAAGTATTAGATTCGATTCTCACCAAAGACGAATTTGAACCACATTATTGTTAGACCATATGAGGCTCAGTCCACTCCTCTACCCTCTTAGTGTAGATAATTCGTTTGTTAAAAAAATGATCATTGATTACTGTTCAATTATTTTGACATTAACTTCTTTTTATTAATGCAAAGCAAACAAAGGCACGATTTTGCACAAAAAATAGTTGACGAAACAGACTTCTCTTAAATTATAGTAATACAAATCGATAACCCTAATGTGTCATCGATCTAGCTAGGGTTTCAACATAAGGGAAGAGTTTCATTTTTTTTTTTTTTTTTTTTGAAAGAAAACGATAGTAGATTATTGATTGAGGAACGTCATGACATAGTTTGAGATACAATAAGCCAAATCAAGGCAACATACATTCTTCCAAGAGCAAATCAGAAATGAATAAAGGAGGGGAAACATCCCATTCACACTCCTGGCTCAAAGAGAGGCCAAAACGTGCTAGCCTATGGGCAATAGAGTTGGCTTGGCAGCGGGTATGGGTAAAAATAGCCTCAGTGATTGATGGCAGTAACGCTTTAATATCTTCCATAATCTGTCTAACTGAGGATAGTTTAATAGACGACACCTTAGGCGTTTCCACAATCTGAAGCGAATCACTATCACAAGTTATGTTTTGAAAACCCCCTATTTCCCGCCCATCTCAAGCCTTCTCTAACTGCCATTGCTTCCGTTTGAAGTGGAGAGAAAACATCCACACAACACCCACTTCTTGCTGCCACAAAATTACCAATGTCCCCACGAATAATGATGCCAAAACCAGCCAACTTCTTTTCTATATTCCAAGAACCATCAATGTTCATCTTGAACCTCCCCGTTGGAGGTGCAGTCTTCTTTGGTTGACTCATTGCTTGGGGTATAGGGCCCGATCCTGCAGCCTTGTAGTTGCAAAATTCTTGCCTCCAAAGTAGAGTCCCTGTTACACATATATCTGGAGAATCACAGTTGATCAACATATAACCCTAATCTTATATTCTATTATTGACCAATTCTTAAGTATTTTTAAAATTTGGAAATAGGAAACTGGAGACAGCGGATATGCTATCCCCAAATTTGTCTCCATTTTGTATCCCTTCTAGTTTATTGACATATGTCCCTAAACTTAACTCTATTTAAAATCATCTCTAACTCTTGGGATAAAACCTGAAATTTTTAACCTAAAACATTTAGGTTTTAACACAAAAATATTTTTTCTCCTCCAACCCTCTAGTTTAAATTTTTAGCCTAAGATTATTAAAGAATGAATTTAGGATAATTTTTTTCTTAAAGTAACTATTTTTACAACAAAAATTGTGTAGCCTATCATAATTTAATTTTATGAACATTTTAACCTAAAAATATTTAGATTCCGATAAATACTATAAAATTACTAAACCGACACCATGAAACTCGTGGAACACTACGAAAGAATATGAAACAGATAAACGTATTTTTTTTTAATTTCTTTTAGCTGTTGGATTTAAATTTGAATCATTAGATTTTTTTTTTTTTTTTTTTTATTATTGGATTTGATCATATTAGATCTTAGTCGTTGTATTCAATGAATTTTTAAATATAAAACTAAAAAAAGTACACATATATGGTGGGCAATCCCACTAACCCAAAAGAAATCTTGATCTAAATTTGCCCTAGAAATGAGTTTTGGGTTAAAACTCATATTTGTCTCAAAAGTTGAAGCAAGTTGGGGTAAGTTTAGAACATAAAATTTGAATTTTACTCTAAGGGTTAGAGTAGGTCTAACAGCGTTAAATGTTTTCTAAAATAAAACAAAAAAACTAATTGTTAAGGGAAAGCAAGCATCTAACAGCCATCCAAACTCTACCACCAACAGAACTATGCCGACAATCACCCACCCCAACCACACCATTCCGTTGGCGACACACAGCTCATTATGGTCGGAAAATCTTCTTCTCTCTCTCTCTCTCTCTCTCTCTCTCTCTCATAACTCTTCTTCCTCTTTGTCTCTCTTTGAACACGCGCACTAAATCGTGATCGATCCAGCCCACCATAAAACAATTTTTGGTGAATTTTGGAATTTGGGGATGAGGAAGAAACCTGATCAATAGATCGAGATTTGAAACGAGGTGAAGAAACAGTTCGAACATCTGATGGATAAATGCGGCTTCACCAGTGAGGGGAAATTGAAGAAAGTTGAGGTTCCACTATAAAATCAATTGGCAATAAGGGGAATAGTCCAACCTCTTATAAGCTTATGTAAATTCTCTCCTCCGATCCATGTGAGACTCATTCTCAACAGGCATAAAGAAAGAAGAAAATAAGCTTTGTTGGTGGTGAGGAAAGGAGTTGCAGTCAACATATGGGCTTAAGTTGATGTTGCTGTTATTCTCTTCAATTTTTAATTTTGATTTTATTTTTATTGATCTTATAAAAAGTTAACATTGTCAATAAAATTTAAGTCAAGTGATGCATGTCAAAAAATTACAAAGGAGACACAAATTTGGAGATAGCAGACTGGAAGGAAGTAAAAGAAAAAAAAAGTGAAAAAAACGACTTAGACCAAGCAAATCATGGAAGGCACTGGGAAGGAAGGGAAGGAGAGCATTATTGTACCCGGGGTGGGTGGGGGGGGGGGGGGTGGAATTGGTTGGTGTTGAATTGGTACACACCACATGAGGAATATGGTCGTTTCGACATGGAACCAAAACAACCAGAACATATGATGCGCGCAGAAGCGGTACCACTGTACTCTACTGATCACTGATCCTTTCTTATTTCAACAGGCAACTGCAGAGCACCTCACGTGAAAAACTTCACATCTTATCATCCTATTCCTACCTATCACAAATTTCAAACACGTTAACCAAACATGGTTAAAAAGAAAATTGAAAAGGTGAACTTAACAAGAATATTGAAAAGGTGAACATAACACAATATCAAAGCCATCTATTCACACATTGCTAACTTGGGAGTATTATCGCCCATTAGAGGTGAAAGTCTTGTATTAATGCTTAAAGATTTTGAGCTAATTCAGGCATTGCTAACTAGTTTAAATTGGATCCTTGCATTCTAACACATTAAAATGGACTATTCACATCTTAATATATTTATAAGAAAAAAGTTTTGTATACTGCAAACACAGTCATGTAGTATTCTAATTTCATGTGTTATAATATAAGTGGATGATATGATTGACATATTTCTCGCTTAAACAGTATATTAATAAATAAATAAAAATATAAATACAAGTGTTATAATTTGAATAAAATAGTAATAACATATCACGTTTCGTTGTAACGATATTCCAAGTACATTAAAAAATTACTTGTCTACAAAGAAGCCCTATATTCTTTCATCATGCTTCTTGTATTAAGTTCTTAAAATTCCTTCAATTTATATTTCTTCTCTCTCTTCACAAAATTTAAAACTCAAGGTGTGCTTGGAAAATATATTATGAATCAATATTAAGTTGCTAGTCACCATAGCCTATTCCTCTCTCCTCCTATTATATGTATTGTGAAGCCGAAAAAGGAGATCATAAAGTACGGTTGGAGGACTTTTTTCTTTTGTATTTCATGTTTTTGTATGTTTAAACTAAGCTTCCTTTCACTAGTGATCTTTATTGTAATGAAAAATTAGATAAATAAAAAGAAAATAAACCATTACCTAAAGCAAAAGGATTTCTTGCAGAGTGCAAGTCTCCATAAAACGCAGAAGCCTGGTCGGCTTCTCACTTCATTCATAGCTTCCAAACCCCACGAACTCACAAACCATCTCTCCCTCTGTTCCTCTCACGTAACGTCCAGTCCATACAATTTCACTTCCAACTCCAAACATTTTCCCGAGAAATCAAGACTTCCGCGGAAAATCACCTCCAATGCCACACTAAACCATCTCACAATTAGTCACACGTTCTGTAATCAATTTCCAACTCCAACCAATTTTCCCCTGCTTGTGTCTCCCCGAAAATGGAGTCGTGGGATTTCGACATCGTGAAGGCAGAGAAAGCCAGCGCCATGCGGACGTACAACCGCCTCCGCACTGCCGCAAAGCTCCTTCTCTCCGCGGAAATTGGCGCCGGCGTCCTCTTCCTCTCCTGGACATTCGCTCGCCTTCCCTTCGCCCTCACCCTCTCCCTCAACTACTTCCTCCTCCTCTCCGGCGTCGTTTCGAGCCCCCTCTTCGTCTTCCTCCTCTGCCACGCCATCATCGCCTCTTTAGTCCTCAAGTCCCGCCACTTCAGCTCGGCCGATAGTAATAACAACGCCGTGGAGGCCGAACTCTACGCGGGGTTAGTCGAAAGCAGCGCCGTCGGAACGGACAGTAGTACGAAGTCTCGTTTAGAAGACGACGTCGTCGTCTCGCGCGGGGGAGACGAGGTTGTGTACCAGGACAAGCAAACCGTTTCGGAGGTGAACTCGGCAGATCCTAAACAGGAAACCGAGTCGAACTCGGACTCAGACTCGGAGATTACGAAGAAGATTCGGAGGACGAAATCGGAGAAGTTTGAGAGGGAACGAAAATCGGAGAAGCTGCGCAGATCGGAGACGGATATTGGCCGGAAAATCGCGAGGCCCGGCGAGGAACGTGTGGGGGAAGATACGGAGGAGGAGGACGATTTGAGCAACGAGGAGTTTCAGCGTTCCATTGAAGCTTTCATCGAGAAGCAGCTGAATTTTCGTCACCAGGAGTCTGTGGCCATTGTTCTTCAGAACCGGAGCCAATAATAAAAAATCCTAAAAAAAGTTAAAAGCAAATGAAGAAATTAAATTTGAGTGGATGTAAGCCAAGGGTACCTACTGTTATGTACAGTATTTTCTGGTTGAGAAATTTGTGGGAAATTATAAAAATAATTTACTACAATTAATCTCTTTTTGTGTTTTATTTTTATCTGAGCCGTCAGATTGGATTGGGTTGAGATGGATCCGACTGTGCATGGAATTTTATTTTGATCGTAAGCGCGGGAATATTATTGAAAATATGAACCATATGCTTCTTGCTTGTGGAAACAGCATGAAATTAAAGGAATATATGCTACATGCATTATATTTGGTATTTTTTGGGTCTATTTAATCAAATGGTGGAATATTTGCCGAGGAATCGAATCGAATTCCAACTTCCATAGAAAGAGTGATATATGCATGTGACTATGCATTGTTGTTGAAGTTAGATTCGGTGAAGGGCGTCAATTGTGAAAGATGATGGCCACAAGAGGAGCAGAGAGCTGCTGGAGAGGACGGTATTATGGTAATCTGCTGGAGAGGACGATATCACGGTAATCTAATTTCGAGTAATTCTGGAATACAGTTTCGGATATTAGGTGGACCTCACCCATGTTTTTATTCTCCAAATGTTAGTAAACGCTAGAATGTGTCAGGAGTAGTGCAATTCCATTTCTCTCGACTCCTGCCCCGTTTGATAACACACCAATAAGGTTTTTCTTTTTATTATATAATTATGTGACAACATTTTACTATACAAATGTTAAAATTGTTCATTCTATTTATCATTATTTAAACATTATCTTTAGAAAAATTTATTCACTTTGAAGAACGTTTAATCATCCATTATATATTGCAAACATCGACGGTTATAGTAACAAATAACATCTTCATGTATTGTATATTTTTAAAATGATTAAAAGAGGATTTTAAATTATAATAAAGAAAATAAATTGTTTTGGTCATAACTTTTCCCTACTGTCATATAAAGATGAATGTCTCCTTTCATGTAAGGAGTCAATCAATGTCCTTATTTAAGCCCATCTCATTATTTGTTTCAAAACAAGTTATGCTTCAATATGACCATAACTGTCACATCCTGGTCCAGACTCGACTCTGCCATAGCACGATATTGTCCGCTTTGGACCCCGACCACGCCCTCGCGGTTTTGTTTCTAGGAACTCACACGAGAACTTCCCAGTGGGTCACCCATCCTGAGATTGCTCTCACGCGAACTCGCTTAACTTCGGAGTTCCTACGGAACGCAAAGCCAATGAGCTTTCAAAATGCCTCGTACTAGGTAGAGATGGGAATATACATATAAGGCTTACAGGATCCACTCCCCTGGGCAATGTGAGATGTTACAATAACACTTGTCATTGATGCTATCAATCGACATGTCACAACATGTGTTGTGTATTTAATTTTTTTATACAAGGATATATATACTTAAGCCTCGTTTGGTACACCGTATAACACACCAGATATGATTAATTATACGATATCAGGTTTTTGGTGTCCCCATGTATTAAATAGTCAACCGACTAAATACTTCGGCCCAACCTATTCTATACGGTTGACAACCGCTTAACTATCCTTTCCAGAACACGGTATTATTTAGTCGGGTTGAAAACATGGCTCTCTCACTCTCTCCAACTCCTAGGTTATCCTTCGAATCCCAAGTTGTCCTTCTTTGTCTTTTTTCTCATTCTTCTCTCTCATCTGAATCCCAGGTCCTCCTTCTCCTTCTCTCTGTTCCACCCTTCTCCTCCTATTTTTCTTCTTCTTCTCTCTATGTTCTGCCATCCTCCTCTTATTTTTCTTCTTCCAGATCCGAAAAAAAAAAAAAAAATTGATTTGAATGTTGAAAATTGTAAAGATCCTAAATTGGGTATGTTGAAAATTCGAACCCGGTTGAAGAAATGGGTTGAGCGATTTTTATATACTCCTCGCATCTGGAATAAAGCTTGATGAATTCATAATATCAATGCTTGTGCTGGTTTGGCTGCAACAAGATCTGGATTTGATGTAATTCCAGTATTGTTCAAAATTCATTATTCATCAATATAATAATATTTTTAAGTCTTTCTTATCCAATAGAGTATCCAACCAAACACAGGATAAATAATACGGTTATTAATCCGATATTACACCAAACGTCCGATTAATTTAGTCAGTACTATCCGATGACTATTTATCCTATCCGAATAAAATAATCAGTACCGTTCGAGTTGCCAAATGAAGCCTAAAAGGTATCAAATTCGCATGTCCTGTATTATGCTGCCACTCATAGTATAACACGCTATTTAATAATGTTACGTGTGCATGAGTGTGATCTTTTAAGAATTGAAAGCTCAAAGCTCTAAAAATTTATAGGGTTAATTTACAAATGAAGATTATGGTGGCTAAAATTAATGGATAATTCAATTTCTCTTTTGATTGCCACCAAACTAGTTTTTCCATCCGCAACTAATTTACAAACATAATTGACAAGAAATGCTCATTTTCTGAAAAGTTCCACAGTTGCTTCTAGTAGGTACGATTCATGATTGATCATGTAATCATCACTCGCACCAAACTTTCTCAATAATAATAGTAATTCTTTTAAGCATTGTCTCACACAGGGATCATATTTTCACAGTTAAGTGAATACAATTCTCTAGTGGATAAAACAGCACCAATCATCATAAAATCATATTTTCGATTTCAACAAGCCTTTCTTTTAATCATATATAAGTTTGTGTAACACTGCACGTATATTTGCTGACTGTATTTACTGAAGTAAGACTCATATTTACAAATAATTTCGGTGGTGAAAAAAACTGGTATAAATGGTTCCATTTCGTATTTGCTAGAAAAAAAAAAAATTACACCTCTTGATTTTCATGTCTTAGTTATCACAACTTATATGCTTTTATTAGCATCCTCACAAAAGGAGACGTCCAATTATTTTAGTTTTATGTTTAAGTGATTAGGTGGAGGGGGAAACTGTAACTGGTAGGTGCCAACCGGGAATGTAATTGCTGTATTATTTCTCAGAAGTTGATGAAGACCTTCACTTGATATCTTCTGAAATTTCGAGAGGTCATACTTCCGATGATTTATATATTTGTTGATCTTATTATAATTGGCATAACACAAAACGAAAATAATTAGAACTTGAGCATGTTTTTTCCTTGTTGGTTTCAAATATTTGGATTCTTAATTACCTTTAGAAGGATCATGTTGCGTGCTTCTGTAATGCATAAGATTTTGTGCTGATTGTGGATGATGCATATGCGTCTCTAACACTATCTTCAAATTAGTAATTAGTATTAAGATATATCCCTATATATATATATATATATATCAATTAATTAGCTGCTGATTATAATTAGAATAATGCCTTTGTTCGGTAGTAAGAAATTCACTTTACTGCTAATATGCCTTTGCCTGTATTTTAGGTCCCAGCCCCACTCACTTGGGTAAGTAATTTAAGCTCATCTTTAGATATAAAGTGGGATTGTAAAATGTACACCAGTATTTACTTAGGAATTGATTATTACTTTATTTTTAATTTGTACATTTTGTGCTTAAGATGTGAAAAAAATATATATAGAGGAATGAGAGATAAAGAAATGTGGTGGGAAGGAGGCAAAGAAACAAAAAAGGATGAATGAAAAAAAGTTTTTAAAGTGAAAATACTAAAAATAGTTTCTGATTATATTTTGGTTTTTAAAGTGAAAATACTAAAAATAGTTTCTGATTATATTTTGGTTTTTAGTTTTTAGTTTTTAGTTTTCATTTTGTGTGCTCATTTCTTCATAACTTTATTCTTCATCTACCTCATGATCCTACCTTTACTAACTAAAACAGTTAAATTCACATAATAAAATCGATCTCTATAGAATTTACATTAAAAATAGAAAAAATAATATTTAATAAACAATTGATTGAATCACATTATTGCTAGCCCATTGTGAGGCTAAGCCCACCCTCACCCCCTTAGTGTAGATAATATCGTTTGTTTAAAAAAAAAAAAAACAATTATTTGACAATTATTTTAATCACATTATTATCCGCGTGCGAAAGACTTTTTTTATAACCGACATTACACGCCTCTTCAAATGTTTTGAACGTGTTTAAAAATAGAGAAAATAATATTTAAGAAACAACTGATTGAATCATATTATTACAACACCCCCTACCCCTTAGTGTATATAATATTGTTTGTTAAAAAAAAAAAAAAACAATCATTTGACAACTTATTTAATCACATTATTATCCGAGTGTGAAAAACCTTTTTTTATAACTGGCATTACACACCTCTTAAGATGTTTTGAATATGTTTAAAAGTAGAGAAATTGAATCACATTATTGCTAGCCTATTGTGAGATACTAATTATTAAAATTAAAAATAAAAAAAAAACTGTACCAAAAAAAATTATTAAAAAAAACACTGTTAAAATGACGAACATGCCCCTATCTTATTTGATGCATTATCTTGAGATGCTTTTGATTTTTTTTTGTCTTGGGGGTATTTTTATCCAAATATTTTTGTTGAAGCTAGGTGACACCAAAAGCATTGTTCACCTTTTTGTTCTCTTTATATATAGATACCTAACTTCAGCCGCCAATTATACGGGGAAAGATCAGCCACATACTAGCTAGGTGATTGATGAGCCAAAAATCCTGTACCTTAATCATCCATAGCTACCATCACAGATTATCTTCCTCTTGAAAGCTTGCATGTCTCTCTGCATCAAACACATACAATTATGTGTATGTTTCCAGTTACTTAATAAAAAAAATAGAAACATAATTATATACAATTAGTGATGCGTGTATGTTATAACAAATTTTTCCAATGAACATTGATTCCAACACACAACAAAAAAGAAGAGATGCATTATTATTTAAACTGCTAGATTAAAACTGTCAAAGTTCGGCTTTGCAAATCCTACCGTCTGATATGTCGTCATATTGGTGATTTCTTCATGCCATATAAAGTTGCTATCCGAATTAAA